TCTTACTTCACATCAGTTTTTATTTAGTGGTCCAAATTCTTGATCACATTTCTCTCAAGGGCTGACTCTCAGTTTTTGAAGAGATTGTTTTTATTTCAAGTATCTCCAATCCACTATGTCGCTAAGATTTTAAATGATTTAATTTGATAAACTGTAACTGCCTCAGTATTAGGACACTGAGGCGTGTAGAGATCTGTGGCTTGGATCTTCTTATTTTGGCATCTATATAGACTGAATAGGTGTATCCCCCAATTTTATGTTTCGGAGCCCTAATCCCAGTGTGATGGTGAAACAGGGCTATAAGGGTGCTAGAGGCATCTAAGGACAGTGCCCAGTAGGGGACAGGGCCACTGTCTGTGGGTTCTCACCTCTGCTCACAATTGCAAGACCAGGCTCAGGGAACAATAGCAACAGGTTTTAACGAAAGGGAAACAAGGAGTTCTCAAGGCCATAAGTGGCCAGCTGTCTCAGCCCAGTTAGTGTTCACAGTGTCTTAAGAGTCCTAAACAAAAGCAGCTTATCCAAGATGGCACTCACCTGTCATCAAAGCAGTGGAGCTTGTGGTGTCAGGGAGCAGTGGGACAGGGCGCAACTCCCTGGAGCTGGCAATGCACACAGGTGGGGCTGAGATAAGGCAGTCTGGAAAGACAGATGGACAGCACCGGACACCGCCAGGCAGAATGGAGGCTGCAGCACCTGGAGGTGGTGCTAGGTCATCAACAACTCCCAAAAGCTTACTGGACACAGAATGCCATTGTAGCACCAGTCAGACACGGAGCAGGTTTTCCATGATCCAGGCAGACAGGGAAAGGAGAGTTCTGGAGCCCTCGGTGCCTTTCAGCCTTTTAATGATGTTTTTACACCATTTGTAGTGAGGCAACCAGAGGCAGGACAGGCAGGGGGTGGGGAGGCAGAGAGGCTGGCAGACTTCCTAGCCCCTGGCAAATCTACTCTTTCTAGGCTCCAGGGTTCTCTTGTGGTCTCTCCACTGGTCTCAGCTGCTCTCTGCTGCATGGTCTTCTGCCTCCGCCCTCTGCTGCTGCTGCGCTAAGTCCTCTGTATAGCCGCCCTTATATGCTCAGGCTCCAGACGCAGCTGCGCCCACTCACGCATGCGCACACCACACACTAGTTGCCTCCAAAAGGCACACGTGTGAGACCATAGGTGTCGTTGATCAATGATGCTAATGGTGAGAGGATGGAAAACCCTGATCATTTCCATTTACCCTATAGCCAGTCACCCATCAATAGTGCTGGACAGCATTGGCCAGTAGTGTTGGTCTCTATTCATCACTAGTGTTATATAGCTCTTTGACAGTTTGCCCCCAATAACACACACTCTCTGAGACCCCAGACGCAGGGCACTTGGTGATCTGTTCAGGTGATCTTCTGCCACTCAAACCTCTGCGAAGCAATTTGGCTTCTCTGAATTCTCTGCAAAGCTTTGCAGCTTCTCTTCTTCCTTTAGAGGTCAGCTGCTGGATGTGTCTGAGAATATCCAGTCCAAGTGAGTAGGTGTCCAGTCCAAGCAAGTGAGGCCAGGGAGTCTGAGCGAGAAAGTCCAGAGTGCCCCAGTGTCTAAGGTGACCCCATCCAAGCAAGCCTCAGACAGTGCAGAGCACAGGAGTCCCAAGCTGGCTGCTGCCCTGCCGTATCTCCTCCTTCAGGGTTTCCACCTACCAGCCTGATCGGACCAGTTTCAATCCTATGGCTGATGTTATGCCCAGACCACCAAGAAGCCAATTCTGTTGCAGAGCACAGGAGGGTCTTTATTGCAAGCTTGAGCCTGTGCTCCCAACATGCACTGATGCAGTAGCCGAAGTTGAGAGCCCTGAGCTCAGGGAAGACAGGGTTTTTGTTATAGAAGAGGGGAATTTCAGCTCAGTAGAGGAGAGTTTTAGCTCAGCAGTACATTGATTGGTTGATATTGAACAAAGCTATCTTGTCTTACCCCGGTTGGTCTATGCATGTAAGATGTGACCTTCACTACTCGGCCTGCATACCTTAGGACATCTGGTGCTTTCCTGACATGTACTGGTTACTTGCCAGTATGGGATGAGCAAGATTAGGACATTTACAGTTAAACTCAGCCTTGGCAACTTGTTGATAACTGAGACTTAGGCCTGGCAGGTTCAGAAGCATTCTCAAGCCTGTCATGGCATCACTTTGGTCTTTCAGCTGACTGGACCACTTACTGACCAGCTCATAACTCCTTAAGTGAGATGGTCCATTCTACCATCCAAGCACCAATCCACAGGCCTCATTACTGCCTGCAGCTGGAGGGAGTCACAGTACTGGAGCTGGCTGAGTGGAGCCTTGGGATCCTCTGTGCAGCCCTAAACCAGGGGCTGCATGCCCTGCAGCACATGGTCGGGCCGCACTGCCATCTGCCATCACTGCTGGGTTTGACTGCAGCCTGAGCTTCAGTGGGGCCACCAGTGGTTGCCTGCTGCTGCTTACAGTGCCTGCAGCAGCACTCTGGGGCCAAGTTCTAGAGCCCCAAGGAAGGGAGTCTCCAGTTTCAATGGGATTTGTAGATGGAGGTTAGGGGAGGTAATTAAGGTTACACCAGGGTCAGGAGGTAGGTTCCTTATGATGGAATTAATAGCTTTCTAGAAGAACAAGATCTCTTTCTTAGTGGCCACATGCTGAGGAAATGTCAAGTGATGCTAGAGAGAGAAGGTGGTCATTGGCAAGGCAGGGAGAAAGCCCTCATCAAAAACCTGAATCTTCTGATAGTTTTTATTTTTTTAGGACTCCATAACAATGAGAAATGTATTTCTGTTTACGCTACACAGTCTTTGCTGACTAATACATCAAAATATAAACAAAACCAACACAACCAACAAACAAGCGTAGCCAGACATTTTTATCCAGTCAAACTTCTAATCTCAAGAATTCGTGATTTTTGAGCAACATGATGAGTACAGGATGCTAGGCACTTGCATTTTCAAAGGCAGAGTGCCTAATCCTGGGGTACAGTTTCTGTCCATTAGTTTTCATCTCTTAAAGCTGCCTGGGTGTTGGGCTCTTGATCATTGTTTCATTAGAATTTAATTTTAGATGGATACTGGTATGAAACACATGCCGAGAACACTTGCTCCCCAGTGGTATTAAATCAATCACCTCATTTATTACCCTCTAGAATCTCTCATTTACATGTGGTCTCTTCTCATAAGAGCACTTCCAAGCAAATCTAAATTTGTTTAGACAATTTTATGGGTATTGTAAAACCACAATTGAATTTCAGGTTTTTGCAGAGGCCCAGCCAAGATTCACTCCAATTAGAAATAATTGCTGTTAATGCTGTTATGATGTGATGGATGCCCACTCTACCCTGGACCTTTGTTCTATTAAATCCCCTAAGAGACTCTTCTTTATTCTTCAACTAAATAGGCAGGCCCCTAGAATATACGCTTTTGGAATTGTAATATAGGAGCAATATTGTGCCTCTCTCTTAATTAACCTTGTTAACCAAGGATTTGGAACATCAATTGGTTAGTCTAAGAGGGTCCTTTGATCCTCTGAGTACACATCTACTGTTGAGAAGGATGTCACTCTTGTGAAATAAATTGCCTTTTATTCTTTGGCATATACCAAATACCTTTATTATTCTATTGAGTAATGGTGTGATATTTTGATTTAATGAAATAATATGTGTGAAGTGATTAGCTTTATGGCAGGAATAATAACTACTAGCTATCATATTTATTATCATAAGATAATTTTTTCTTATTTAAAAAAATGATGTCTGAATGGAAAGGAGATACAAAACAGAGTTGTCAGTCTCATGCAGGCAGTGCAAGACAAATCAGTCCATTGTGGATTCCAGAGTCCACAGTCCTGAGACTTTTGCCCAACAGCCCCTTACCTCCAAGTTGTTCAAACTCTCATTTCTTTTGACTCTTACAGGGCCTTCCAAAGTACCTGTCATACTGTTTTGCCCCCCACACAAAAGAGGGTAAGAAACAAAGGCTGCTGTTTTTCTTGCAAGTGAGGTACCCCCATCAGCTTGGGAAGGAGTTCCAGAGGTATAGTAATTAGCATATTTTTCTTAATCTTGCTTCTATAGAGCAACTCCAAAGCATGAAAGAAGCTGGCCAGTTGATTAAACTGTAAGAATTCAATAGATCTAAAATGAAGGCAGCACTGATGAATACAAACCCATAAAATTGTGCATTCTGTGGAAAAATGGCTCAATGTGAATTCCAATTGGAAATACTAAACACTTGAAATTAACCACATGACTAAGAATATATATATATATTTTATTAACAGGTAACAGTGCACCTAAGTCAACAGAAAGTCATTTTCAGAGTAAAGAGTAAGAAGAGATCATTTTTAGTCTCTTCTAGGCAAAAAAAAAATATGTGATCTTAATTAGAATTCGATCTTGGATCACTTGCTAACTATGTTCATTTAGGCAATAAGGTACAATGTGTGATTAAAGCACCATGACAATTACCTAATACAATTTCAGCACAGGTAGGTAGTTTATTAGAGTTTGCGTAGTGCTCGGGAAAGGACATAAGGGCTGACATTTTGTATAGCAGGGGCACAATTTCATAAATGTCAAGGTCAAGAGGAAGGTGAGGGGATAAAAGAGCTCTGTGTCTCCTTGAGGGGCATTTCAGCTAAATCCTCATCTGTGTTCTTCACTTCTCACTCCTGTTCCCCACTGCAAGCTCAGGTTGTTACCATTTGATCCACTTTCCCAATGACCAAGTGAAGAACAGTTCTTTGTGTTTATTTCTCTCTCTTATCCGTTGCAAACAGAAATGACAAAAATGGGCTATTTTTTAAATTGACTACCCATATCAACAACAAATCAGACTGGTGATATTACTTACAAAAATATTGGTTGAAAGTACTGGTCTAGATAGCAGAGTAAGAATGGTTCTTGCAGTGCTGTTTTTCTACCACTGTATAAAAATACTTTTCTTCATCAAAATAAACATTATGTGACATTAGGTATCATGACATCAGCCACAAAGTTGGCCTTCAGTGTTTTTTCTTTTTGCCGAGGAAGCCATCCATTGCATTGAGGACACCAAAGTTTTCAGCTATAAGTATTGCCAACTTGATGGGCAAGACACTAGAGAAAACACAAGAGTAAATTTTTTTGGTTATTACCAGCTCAGTTGAAAAGATGACTGACTTATCACAGATGATGTCATTCATACTAATGTACACAATTGCATGTGTACTGCAGGGTTATCTAGGCAGAAGGACTGACCTAAGTTCTTTGGATCTTTCCTTTCTTTCTTTATGTTATTCAACTCACTTGCCATGTCAGTTTCCAAAGCTTCACTGCATTATGCAGTGTTTGATAGGAAGCAGTGAAATCTTGAGTTAGATGAACCTGGCTGGAATTCTAGCTCTATCATTTCCAATGATATTTCAAGTAAGTAACAATGCTCACAAGGCTCAGTTCTTTCATGATAAATGACCATCAACTTTTCTCTTTTGGGACATCTGTGAAAACGAGATTCAATAACTCTTCAGACCTTTGCAAGATCCAACTAAGACTACTCATCTTCTCAACTTCCCCACTGGTCTCTCTCATGGGACTCTGACTCTGGTGATTCTGATTTTCACACCAGATCCTGAGGCACAATAAAGAGGGCAGGTAACACTGTCTGAACTGTGAGGTAAAGAAAAGGACTCTGTACTTGCTGTCCCTCCAGAAGCTCACCCAAAGCTCACCCAGGAGCTTCCTCTCTTCCTCAGCTTTGGGCCACTGGTCAAATTTTCTTCTTTGGTAAGCCTTCCTTACTCTGGGGTTCCTTTTCTTTATGACCTCTAACAAAAATCTTATTTCATACATACATTTATTGCTTATTTGTTGCTTACCACTCCCTACCCTTCCTTCAACAGAGAAGGAATTCTTGTCTCTGGTTCATCTGAGATTATAGGATGTCAGTAATCTTGGCACACAGTAAGCACTCTCTAATGCTTGCAGAGTGAATACTTGAAAGAGTAGGTGAGGTTCCCTGAATATTTTTGTTTTCAAAACTCCCTTCTCAGGAACTAGCTTTCTCTCAAACCTGGATTCAGAACTAATATCCTATAAAGGTAAATATAATCTCTATAGATATTCCAAAAATAATAGAGAAACAGAATCCCATGTTCCTTATAATTGGCAATACTAGAGCATAACGGTCTATTGATATTATGCAAAGGTCACTTGCTAAATTGTGAATACACTCACCATGTTGTAAAAGAAACATTGATTTTTACATGTAAATGAGGAAACTGAGTTAGGAGAATAAAAAGCAGGATCATAGCCCCAGATCTCAAACTGTTTGCCAATGATCTTTTCTGCCATGCCCAAACATCTTTGGTAAACCATGATACTCTGTGCTAGATGAAGTCAATTGAAGTGAAAGGACATAAAAATGACTTTTGGTTCATTGTACATTAGCTAAAGAGAAAAGATGTCCTCTTCCTCAAGACGGGTAATGGCTCTTGGTCATGTCATGGAAAAGAGGCTGGTATCTATGCTTAAATAACTGAAAGATGTTGCCCCCAATAGGAATTGATTACTTGCACGGCTAGAGGGCAGAGCTAGAACCAATAGTTATGAAAATAGACAGACTGTAACTCAAGAGAGAGGAATGGTTTAGCCTTTGAAGGTGTTTCCTTGCAAACAAGTAACAAAGTTCCAAGAGGGGAAGTGTTGTTAGATGACCTGTCACAGTGATTTGGGATAGTGGGAATCAGCAACTGCTTTAACATTTCTGTACCAGCATTCCTGTAACTGGGAAAATGTTAACAAAAGGCAACAGATCAATCTGAGCATTGCAGTCTGATGAAGCACAGAGAAAGATGGAAAAAGATCATCTTTTGTGCTTTTAAGGGGTAGTAATCTTTTCAGTCCAATACCCAATGTCACACGTTCCTGAAGCATTTGGCTTACTCTCTGACCTTGATTTTGTGACCCTGCACTTGGGGAAGCAGGGACACAGTATCTATTCAACACGTTTATTCCATAATGAGCATGATTAAGCATCTCTTCTGAAAGAATAATTTCTAACTATTCACAGATCATTCAGTAAATCTATATTTTTTCCTGCTAACAATGCAGCACTAAGATAACTGGAAAGATGTGATTCCATTTTCTAGATTCCAGGAGGCACAGCAATTTGTGAAAAATTGAGATTGTATCAGCAAATGGGCACAATGACAGATAAAAATTCATTCACTTCATAGATATTTTTAGTGGGATTAATCATTCTTCTTGGTGGGATTGGTAATAAATTTTTAATTAGCATATTAGAGAAAAAAGAAACTTGTAATGTGTTACCTTTTTAAAAACATCAAGAAGTATAACACCCGTGGGATATATAAGTAGGTTTTTTCTTGCAGAATTGCCTCTACTATCTTCCTGACTGCATATTCTGGTTCCAGAATAGGTAACAGTAAAGGACAGCTGGGGGGTAAGAAAAAACACCAAATTAATAATGAACACTGACAATTCTTATACACTAGGCAAAAAAAGCTATAAGACTATAAGAGTGTATCATTTACTTGTTCCTTTCCCTCCAGGATTTGATCAACTTCTATATCTATTCCCTTGCTATCAATTTGGTGAATAATACCACAAGTAGGAGATGAAATGGAAAGTGATGATTCTAATTAATGTACTGTTATAATATGCATATATTGGAACCGTATTAAAAATGGTTTAGGGGCCCTCCCTGGTGGCACAATGGGTTAGGATGTAGCACTGAAAGCTAGTGCAGCTGCTTCAATGTGAGTTTGAACCCTGCCCCAGAGGCAACCCACATGGCATGGGGGACCTCTCCCGCTGCTCCCCTCAGCAGTGCACTTCTGCCTGTTCTGCTCCCTGCTCTGTCTTCTGGTGATGCCTTTCACCGTCCCTGTCCCTTTGGCCTGCACCCCAGTTCTGTATGCATAAATAAATAAATCTTTTAAAATAATGGTTTAAATGTTATAAAGTGAGTCTTTGAAAATCAACTGCTTGTCATCTCTCATCTCCATGAGATGGAGGTTTGCACATTTGTGCTCTTTCAATGATTCTAGTCCTTCTGTGTGGATTTAGGGCAGAAAGTAGAATGGAGTTGGATGGTAGAAAGAGTGGAGGAGATTGAGGTCCAGGCTCATGGGTGGCTATAAGTTAGATGCTATCTTGAGAGAACATGTGTATTAAACTCAACATTTTAAACACAGACACACTTGACTAAAGACAGAAACTCTCAATTTATAAATCAGGTTGAACACTAAAAAAATCTTTTTAAACAACATTACAAAACAAAACCAAAGTAAGATGGATGGCAAAACATTTTTTAAAATGTAGTTTCTTTGAAATCAAGGGACATACTTACCCAGTAGTACAACCATCAAACATTCCAGTTTTTATAAAAAATGGGCACACAATAGTGGTTTTGATCCCTTTTTGTTTCTGGGCATATGTTTCCAAGAATACAGATTCAGCAAATCCCAAAGCTGCAAACTTACTTGCACAATAATCTGAAACGACAAATATAGTTACTGTGTATTCTAAAGCTTTTAAACAGCATTGAGTTCAGGTTTCCTTGCAATGATAACACTGGTAGAAAATGGGTTGACAATTTTAATGTTCTAATTTTGTATGTTCTTGGTTTACTTCCACTGGAAGAAATGGGAAGTGTTTGGGAAGGTTTACAGTCTCCTAAAGATCTGTTGATAACAACCAACTGAGTTCTAGGAAAAGCTGGGAGCAGGAGTCTCCTGTGAATCCCACTGGTACCATCCATTAATGAATGGTGATGCACTGTCCTCATTTTATTATTTATTTATTTTACTTTATATGTTATGTCATTCTTCCTTTTATGTACAATGTATGCTTTCTCCTCTCAGGTGTAGTCCCTATAAAATTCCAACCACCAATTTACCCATGCACCATCACTATAGTCCCTTATGCTCTTCCCTCACCTGTTTTGATCTGTCTTTCTTGTAGAATGTCTCTGATTAATAGTTGCCTGTTAATTTTGTTTTTAATTTATTATAATTACCCTTTTTTCCTTATTCATTATTTGGTTCCTATACAGTCCTCCTATAAGTGAAGCCATCTGGTCTTTTTATTTTTATTTCTGGCTTATTTCACCTGAGTGTAGTCCTTCCAACTCCACCCATGTTGCTGCAAATGGCATTAGTTTATCTTTTTGATAGCCGAGTAATATTCCATTCTGTACATATACCAAATCTTGATCCAGTTATCTATTTTTGTACATCTGGGCTGTTTCCAAAGCTTACCTATTGAGTAGTGCTACAATAAACACAGGGGTTCAGGTATCCTTTTGAGTTAATGTTTTTGTGTCTTCAGGTAGAGTGCATTTTAATCTCTGTAAGGTAAGGAAGTTTCCTTGATTTCTTTCCATGGTTTATTTCTAATTTGATGCATTTATGGTTAGAGAAGATAGTATGATTTTGATCTTAGTGTATCTGCTGTTGGTTGTCTTTCATTCCAGTATGTAATTAAACCTTGAGAATTATATTTGTGAACTTGAGAATAACGTGTACAGTTTTTTTCGGGTGCAGTGTCCAATAGGTGTCTATTAAGCCCATGAGGTCTAGGTCCTTCTTTAGAGTACTAGAATCCTGGCTTATTTTTTGTCTCATTGATCTTTTCAGTGGTGAGAATGGTATGTTGAAGTTTCCCCCACATATGTATTTTCTCTAATGTTTGTTTTCAGAGATGGTAAAAATTGTCTGATATATTTTGGTGCTTTTTCATTTGGTGAGGATATGTTGATGAATGTTATGTCTTCTTGATGTACCATCCCCTTAACCATACTGTGACTGTCTGTGTCTCTTTTCTTCTTTTTTTAGTTTGAAGTTTATTTTATATGCTATAAATATAGCTGTTCCTGCCTTCTTTTTTGGTCCATTTGCTTGTAGTATTATTTTCTAATCTTTTACTTTCAACCTATGCTTGTCTTTTGTAGTTAAATGTGTTTCCTCTTGACAGAAAAAGGTTTGGTGCTGGTTTTTAATCCAGCCTGCTTATCTGTGTCTTTGTATTGATGAGTTTAGTCCCTCTACTTTTAGAGTTAATATTGATTTACTGACACCTGTATTTACCATTTTGTTTGACTCTTTGTGATTCTATTCCTTGCGCATTAATCTGTTTTTCCTGTTAATTTCTCTGTTGGTTTTGACTTTTGGGTTTCTTGCATTACTTCTTGGGGGGTGGGGCTTTCATAGTAGTGAATCTCTGGGGATTTTGTTTAATTGAGAAGGTTTTTATTTTTCTTTTGTACAGGAAGGAGAGCTTGGTGGGGTAGAGTATCTTGGTTGGCATTTGTTAACTTGGAATTTGTTAAACATTTTACTCCATTTTCTTTTTGCCCGTAGCATTCCTTCAGAGAAGTCTAATGTCAACCTGATTGCTTTTCATTTATAGATGATCTGTTTCTTCGCCTTTGTAAATTTCATTATATTTTCCTTGTTTTGGGCCTTTAGAAATTTTACTAATATGTGTCTCATTGTAGTTTTCTTGTCATTGTGGTAATCTGGTGTTCTTCTAGCTTCCTGTATGTCTATTTTCATTTCCTTCTTCATGCTTGGGAAATTCTCTTCAATTATTTCCTTGAATAGTTTCTCACTTCACTTCTCTCCTAACCTTCTGGGATTCCTGTGTGGGAAGCGCTACAAGGGAGGGGCTTACACCTGACACTGTAAGATTGCAATGAGGTTGCATTTGCTTACCCATCAAAGTTCAGACCTCTCAGATGTCTCAAGATTCTCTGGCGTCTTTTGTGGTCTCTTTTTCTCCTTTTCTACTAACCAGAGTGGGTTGGCTGTGTGGGGGAGGGGTGAAGGGTTCTTTCTTCCCATTCAGTTCAATTTTCCTCTGAATCTGGTGAACCAGACTCAGTCCAGGCATGAGGAGTCAATTGGGTCATGATTAAGTTGCCTTTCAACTATAAATTTCTTCATTTTCAGAAAAATCCCAAAGGACCTGGGAACTTTAGTCTCTAACTCTTAAATATCTTAAAAATGTAGAGGGAGCAGAAAATGATATTTATATCAGTTTTGAACATTTTGTCTTCAATCACACTTACTTCAGGTAAATAGTTGAATACTCAGTCCAATGAATGGAAGAGTTTGGAATGAGGGCATTTAGGTGAAATTGTACTTTATTTTGTTTCACCCAGTCGAAAGTGACAATTTTACCTGATCATTTGAGAGACAGCTACAACAACTAGCAGGAATCAAATGATAAGTGTCAAGGGTGGGGTTTTCAGACCTCTTGCTGCCCAAATTGGTGGATGGGACACAGAAAATGAGAAGGGGAAAGGAACAGTACTGGAAAGCCATTGGATCATTTAAATCATTAAATGTCACTGAACTCCTCAACCTCTCAGATTCTGATGATCCCAGAAATTTTCATTCGCAGAAGTACTTTTCCTACTACTTAGATTCTGATGCAAGAGAACCAAGACTCATACTAGGAAGGTAACAAAAATTTTACATTTGTTTCTAAGGGGATTTGGGTGGGTGGGTGGTGGGGTTATATCTAAGATAGAGGTATGTCAAAACATCATTAGTAGCTTAATGGACCTATGGAACCTATGTTATTTCAAAGACCAGGGATATATTAGATATATAAAATAGTGGTAACAATAACGCCTGATGCATTCTAAGAAGACTAGAGGAAAGGAAGTCATTGATAATATTTTAGGTAAGGGTGGTTTTGGAAAACCTGTTCATGTAACTGAGATAAACCATATACAAAAACATATTGTATATTTTAAACTATGTTGCTTAGCTCCAGAGCCTTAGAAAGTGCTCAGTTGGCAATGTTTTCCAAATGATGCAATTAGGGTTTCCTATGGATGAGTTATAGGAAACTTTGTAAGCCAGCACATAGATCTTGGGACAATATTTTTTCTTTTCTTAGAGCCAGTTTTCTAGGTGAGCTGCTGAGTTGGTTCACTTCTACCCAGGATAGGGATGAATCTCTATGCCTCCGTCTCACTTTAATGTTGTCTGTTTCAAGGGAGATGCAATAGCAATCAGTCTCTGTAAGCTTTCAATCAGTGGAAAAGCAAAGAGGGTATTTAGGTCTCTTGGGGAGGAGAACTTCCTCAAACTTACCGCAAGGAGAATGGAAACTTCAAAAGGTAGTGTTTTCTTATAATCCTGATAACAGTGCAAGGTGAATTTTAGGGGAAGGTGACTATGTAATCACTAGCTTAAAAAATATGTCATTGAGAATTCTGTTTTTCTAAATATGGGGATGGTATAAGAGTTAATGATTTCAAAGTCTACAGTTCAATTTTATGTATGTATATTAGATGGGAAGTTTTGTTACATGTGAATTTCTCTACCTTTTACCCCTTAATTTATTATCCTTTATTAGTGCACTGAGGGAATGAAGTTTATTCTGAACTATTATATAAGTTCAAGTTCTAAATAATTTTGCAAGTGTGAAATACCATACTTCTCTTACCTGCCAGTCCATTTATGCCAACTAATCCAGCTGAACTTGAAATACAAACCAAATGACCATGGTCATTAGCGATCATAGCAGGTAGAAAGGCTTTATAAGTCTAGGAAAGGCAAACAAAACTATCAAAATTTTATATCACATTTTGTACCTTTTTCGGATGTTTATATGATCATTATGACTAGGCTGATAGAAAACTTGAAGGATATAACAACTTAAACATGGGAGTGGAAAGTAAATTAACTTGTTTAACTTGTCAAATCAGTATTTTCCTGATGGCAATTTTCAAGGTTATTAAAAGGGACTTATTTGACTTATTTTTTGTTCACATTTAACTTTCATAAATATGGCATTAAGGCAATAATTGAAACAGACTTGGAAAATCTTAGATGTGTCAGTCACAATGCAAACAAATAAGAGTTGGATATGATATTAAAATTTATATTGTCTTTCTATCCCTATCTTACTTTCAAATTTTCCTCACTCTTATAACAGAATATGTTACTGTGGGCATCAGTTTAAAAATATTACTTTGTTTTGAATTTGTTTTTACTTCTCTGAATAATAATTTATTATTTTTTCCCCTAACAATATACAAGAGAATGTCTGTTCAGGAGAGAAGGATGTATGCTGTGATTTAGTTCCTTAGGCGGAACTACTGTTGCTCTGAGGCCTGGAAAAAGAAGAGAGAAATGAGCTCTGGGAGATGTATTTTGCAACACAGAAATACTTAATCAAATATGAATAATTGCATATTTACAAATAAATTTATATTTCTCCTATTTCTTTTCAAATGTGACAAAAGGACATCTTATAAAAGTAAATCAATTTTTTTGGTGCATATTATATCTATTAAGTTTTAGAGAGCAACAAACACATAAGAGAGAGGTGGGAAATCAAAAGAACTCAAGAGAAAGGAAGCAGCAAAGAATTAAAAATTCCTGAGTTCACATGTCTGCAATGAGTTGTTTTGCTTCTCTATGTGGACAAATGAAATTGGAAGTACAGGAACCATAAATTCTGCCTCTCTAGCAATTGTCTATTCTCTGCAGGAGCTCAGCAAATATCTGTAAATGTGCCTAGAAAGAGCGTATGTAGAGTGAATATGTGAATGTGAGAGAAGCAAGGGAAATGCTAACATTTGGGGGAATGACTCAAAGAAGAGAGAAAAAGGTGAGAAAAAGGAGACCATGAAGGAAGGGAGCTTGTGGGGAAGTGAGTGGTAGTAAAACATTACAAAAAGCACAGGAATGACCACTTTACAGTTAATTATGGTCCTCACCTTCATTTTGAACCTATACCCTTGTTTCATTGTAATGAAGGTAAGGAAAAATTTTGGGATAAGAAAATATAAGTCAGTTGGAGTAGTTCCTGAAGTAACATGATAGTTACTTAATTCTGAATTTTTTCATCTTTTTCTGGAACACTATACAGAACACCAATAATACCACCCAAACCATTACATTTTTGGTGAAAACTAAGGGACAGAAAACATTCAAACCTTTAAAAGCTGCCAAAGGAGAGCTAGGTGGGGAGTTCAGGAGGAAAGATAAGAGGAGAGTGGCGGGGGATAACAGACATATCAGCAAATACCTCACCCAGAAGGAGAGAATTATACCCAGAAGACAAAGTATGAGCAGGGCTGGGTATGTGCTGTATTGTAGGGAGGCTTGAGATGACTGGTTTCAGCTTGAGATGACTGGAAAAGGCAACTTCTGAATGTGGACATATATATCATCTGTGTCTTTTAGTCCCTGGGAAGGAATCAGGAACAGTATATTTGTAATTTATAAATTATTTATATTTAATTTATATTCATAAATAGTCTATTTTCAGTCTCATGTAAGTGACTGTCTGGTTATCTATATCACTTGTTGAAGAAATTTTCCTTCCTCCAATATACACTCTTGGTTTCTTTGTCATAGATTAATTGTCCTTATAGTTGTGTTTATTTCTGGGCTCTCAAGCTTACTTTATGAGTTTGAGTCTATTTTAAAATTCAGTGCAATACTGTTTTGAGTACAATAACTTGATAGTATAGTTTGAAGCCTAGGAGTATGAAATCACTGTCCTTCCTCTCTTTTTGGTCAGGATTTCTTGACTATTCAGGGTCTTTCATGCTTTCATATAAATTTCAATAACGCTTGTTCTATTTCTTTGAAGGATGCCATTGAAACTTTAATAGGGATTATATTGAATCTGTATATTACTTTGGTTAGAATGACAACTTTTTATTTTTTAAATAATTTATATATATTTCATATCATTGTACAATTTTACTTTCATTTTGAAGGTTTTATTTATTTATTTATTTATTGCATAGAGAAATTGTAGTGTAGCCCAGAGGTACAGAGCTGAGAGGATTCATCAGAGACAAACTGGGGAACAGAACAGATGGATCTACAGAAACACACTATTGATAGGAGCAGTAAGCAAAACAGGAGAAGTTTGCTATGCCATGTGGGCCAGCTCCTTGGCCAGCTCCCTGGTCAGGCTGTAGCAGTGATACCTAGGCTGAGACCTAATCCCTAGGCCACCAAGGAGGCCCATTCTTTTGTTTTTTTAATATAATGTTTACTTTTTCCCTCAGGTGTAGTCTCCATAGATTTTCTACCACCAATTTATCTGTGCACCATCACTATAGTCCTTTGTGCTCTTCCTGTACTTTTTTCATATCTACCTCTCTCCTCTGCATAATGTCTCTGATTTATAGTTGTCTATTTTTGTTTTGTTGTGTTTTTTATTATTATTTTTTTCTCCTATCCCTGTTTGGCTCCCCTACAAGTGAAACCATCCAATATTTTTCTTTTTATTTCTGACTTATTTCACTGAGCATAATCCCTCCTAGCTCCCTGTATGTTGCTGTGAATGGCATGAGTTTATCTTTTTGATTGTTTAACAGTATTCCATATCTTCTAGATCCAGTCATCTATTTTTGAACATTTGGATTATTTCCAAGTATTACATATCATAAATAGTGCAGCAATAGGGGCTCAGGTGTCCTTTTGAATTAATGGTTTTATGTCCTTTGGATAGGTCCCTAAGAGTTGAATGACAATGACGACATCACTTTTCAGAATGTATGGGATGCAGCAAAAGCAGTAATAAGACTATATTGCAATACAGGCCCACACCGAGAAATGAGAAAGAACTCAAAGAAACGACCTAAACTCCCATCTCAAAGAACTAGAAAGAGAACAACAAAAAGCTCCCAAAACCAGTAGAAGAAAGGGAAAAATAAAAATCAAAGCAGAAATAAACAAAACATAAATTTAAAAAACAATCCAAAAGATCAACAAAACCAATAATTGGTTCTTTGAAAAAATAAACAAAATACACAAAACTTTAGACAGGCCCACAAAATAAAAGGGAGAAAACACAAATAGGATCATAAATAAAAGAGGAGAACCTAGAACAGACTCAGTAGAAGGCAAAAGATTAATCAGAGACTACTATGAATATCTATATGCAAACAAGGTCAACAATCTAGAAGAGGTGTTGGAATGGCATTATCATTCAAAGGTAGCTAAAGAAGAAATAGCACACCTAAACAGGTCATTTCAAGAGTGAAATTGAGACAGTAACCAAAACCCTCCCCCAAAACAATAGCCCAGGACCAGACAGCTTCACAAATGAATTCTACCAAATGTTCAGGAAGGAACTCGTACCTCTCTTACACAAATTCCTTCAAAAAATTGAGAAAGAAAGCATACTACCAAATACATTCTATGAAGCTATATTACACTAAGATGACAATTTTAACAATGCTAATTCTTTTAATTCATGGACAGGAAATGTATTTCCACTTCTTAGAGTCTTCTATTTATATTAACAATGTTTATTGTTTTCACTGTACATAATCTTCACTTCCTTTGTTTATTTTATTCCTAGGTGTTGAATCTTTCTGATATGCATGTAAATGGATTGTCTTCTTGATATCTTTTTTCCCCCTTCTTTTATTTTGCCTAGAGTGATGTAATAACTTTTTATAAGTTGATTTATTACCTGTCACCTTACTGTACTGATTTATTCTTTCTAGTAATTTTTGAGTGGCTCCTTTAGACTCTATGTTATTAGGTTATAGACAAATAGTGATAGTTTTCTCAGTTTGGATGCCTTTTATATCTTTGTCTTGACTATTTTCTTTAGCTAGCCCCACCATTCCTATGTTGAATTGTATGGTGAAATTAGATATCTTTGTCTTGTACTTGACCTTAGAGGGAAGGTTTTACATTTTCACCACTGTGTGTTGTTAGGTGTGGGTTTGCCATATGTAGCCTTTTATGTTGAGACCTGTTCTGTCTAGCCCCACTTTTTGGAGAATATTTTTTGTTTTATCATAAATGAATGTTGATACTTGCCAAATGTTTTCTGTGAACCTGTTGATGTGATTACTTTTTGCTTTTCCTTTTGGTGTGGTGAATTATGTTGATTGATTTTAAGATGTTGCTTCATTCTTGCATCCCTATAATAAATCCCACTTGGTCATGATGTATGATCATTTTAATGAACTACTTAATTTGGTTTACTAAGATTTTGTGGAGGAATTTTGCAACTATATTTATCAGTGATATTTATCTGTAGCTTTAATTCTTGCCATATCTTCTCTGCTTTTGGTATCAGAGAACATTGGTCTCATAAAATGTACCTGGAAATATTCTAGTTTTTCCCAATGTTTATAAGAGTTTGAGAAGTATAGGTAGTAGTTTCTCTCTGAAGTTTTGATAGAAGTCACTAGTAAATCATCTGGTCCTGGGCTTTTGTGTTTTGGAGACTACATCAAACTAAAAAGCTTCTGGACAAAGCTTTCAATGGTGAAAGAAACTATCATTAAAACTAAAATATACTGGGGCCCTCCCTGGTGGCACAGCGGGTTAAAGCACTGCACTAAGAAGCTGAAACCACTTCCGCATGAGTTCGATTCCCGCCTGCCCCGGAGGTGACGGCATGGTGTGGCAGACCTCTCCTGACCCACCCGCTGCTCCCCTCAGGAGTGTACTTCGTTGATCTGCCTGTTCTGCTCCCCACTCTGTCTCCGGTGGAGTCTTTCGCCACCTCTGAGTCTCTGGCCTGTACCCCAGTTCTGTATGCACAAATAAATAAATCTTTAAAACAAAACAAAACAAAAAAACTAAAATATACTTACTCAAAGGGAGAAAATATTTGCACACTATCACCTGCCAACAGGCTGATATTCAAGAAATATAAGGAGTTTATAGAACTTAGCAAAAGAAAACAACCAAATCAAAAAAAAAAATGGGGAGAAGAGATAAATAGACACTTCTTCAAAGAAGAAAGATGGCCAACAGGCATTTGAAGAAACCCCTTCATCTCTTATCATCAAACTACAGTGAGATGCCTTCTCACATCTGTCAGAATAGCTCATATCAAAAAGATCAGAAACAACAAATACTGGCAAAGATGTGGAGGAAGAGGAGCTCCTGTGTAATGTAATGTTAATGGGAATGTAGAACTGTCCCAGGTCTTATGTAAATAATATAGAGATATCTCAAAAAAAATTAAAAATAGATTTATCATGTGATCCTGAAATTCTATTCTTTGATATCTACCTGAAACAGCTCTAACTATAGAAGGAAAGCTGATATTTGAAGAGATATTTGAAGAGATATATACATTTCTCTGTTCATTGCAACACAATTATAATAGCCAACTTATGGAACCAACCAAAGTACTCAAAGAAAGATGAATGGAGTAGGGATATTGGGCTTACATACATAATGGAGAAATACTAAGCTATAAAAAAGGATGAACTCTTGCCTTCCTTTGTGACATCATGATGGCACTGTAGGGGTAATACCAAGCAAAATCAGTCAGAAGGAAAAGATAAATACCATGTAGTTTCACTTATATGTAGAAATGGAATGGAACAAGGGGTCAGACAGAATCAAACCAATAACAAACTCTACAGTTGAATTGAATTGAATTGAAACTACCTGACGGGAAAGGGGAGGTCTGAGAGCAGAGGGGTCCGATGGATTATAGGGAGGACTAAGAGTATCTTGTGTGTTGGTGGTGTGTGGTAATACAGCTGAAGGGTGTGATTTTATACCTCTGAATCATACAGTATTGCAAAGCAATGTTACTTCAATAAAAAAGGAAAAAAAATAATGTAAGAGAATAAGAGAAAGGTACATATAACTATCAGAGTAATTATATATTTACAATGAGAAAAAAATAATTACCCATAAATGTGCTTTGAAATTCACATCAAAAGACTTTTCCATAAGCTCATCTGGGCAGTCAAGGAAATTTTTGCCTGTTACAATTCCAGCATTATTGATGAGGATGGACACATCTCCAACTTCTTTTTTAACCTAAAGCAAGTAACAAAAGCAACACTACCAATGTAGTAATTTCTCATATGAGCTAGTTTAATTTCCCCATAGCTTTATATGCTCCTTTTTCTTGTTAACCCAGACTGAGTTTATGCATTGTAAAGACAAAGTATGTTTTACTTTTTTTGCTCAATTTATAATGTATCAGAAATCCAAGACTGATGGTTTTCTTCTCATTTCTTCCTTCTGCTTTTGATGGTCCAAAGCTATCAGCTTTCCTTCTATAGTTAGAGCTGTTCTTGTGTTCAAATGAGTAACATTGTTTTATCTTCTGTATATATTAGTAACGCATCATTTTAATCAAGTGTTGACATTATAACCATGTGCCATAAAAATCAACACCCAGTATACCTAGAGATGGGGTGGAATAGGGAGGGACTGGAGGAAGTCTGATATTCATGTTCATGTTTTAAAAACCCTGCACCACTCAAAACCGGTCAATCCTGTTTTCAAACTGGCAGGTTTTCTTCTCCCTACCCTAAACTTTCCAGCTTTACGTATTCCTCCTGCTGGCGGGAGGACCACAGCAGGCACTGCTTGTTGCTGTGACACTGGCGAGTGGATACTCGGTAAATTTTATGTAAAAAAAATTAAAATGCTGAGTGTGACATTGGTGTCTTTCCTTCATAATAAGTCTTCAGGGTGTAACCCTGGTTTTAATGTCAGAAAAGAGCACAAGATTATCCAGAGTTGATTTGATTAGAAACAATGCTCTCCTTTTTTCCTCTTTGTATTTGAATTTCATTTCTGTAACTTATATTGCAAAGCAGGGCCCAGCAATGAGGACAGGCAGGCCTGTGTCTAGCTCTAAACTGTTAAATGAAAAATCCTGAAATTTGACCTTGGACATCAGGATTCTTTAATAAATTTAAGAATTTTCAAAGATGCTATAAATAAAGTATTTTTTTCTGTCACCCTATAGTGATAAACTAGAAATACCAAGCTTGATCATTTCTGATCAGAATGAAATCACAGATATGGGGGAAAAGGGAGTTAATAATTTACGGAGTAACTTATACTAGCATGGGTAGCACCTGAAGACATTTAGTGCTTGAACATGAATCAGTTGTTAGTTATGAGTGACCAGAGAAATTATTTGTACTCAGGTGATAGGCACTTCAAGTACAAAGAGCTAACTCTGTGGAATGGGCTGCAACTGTATCTTGAGGTGGGCTCAGTGGACGCTAGATTGTCAGGTTGGGATCTCCAGATTCTACTGGGCATGTCTGACTGGAGATGGAGCAACAGATGTGTAAAATGTGCTCACAGACTTAAAAGATACAAAATCAGGCTCTCCCTGGTGGCGCAACAGGTTAAAACACCACATTATGAAGTTTCACGAAGTCACTGCAGCATGAGTTTGATCCCCAACATGGAGGTGATCCACATGGCGTAGCAGACCTCTCCTGACCCGCCCGCTGCTCCCCTCAGCAGTGTACTTTGTCAATCTGCCTGTTATGCTTCCTACTCTGTCTCTGGAGAAGCCTCTCACGGCCCCTGCACCTCTGGCCTGTACCCCACTTCTATATGCATAAATAAATAAATTAAAAAAAAAAGATACAAAATGACCTGCAAAACTCAAATAGGAAGTGAGGTAAAATGGAGCAAGAGGATAGATTCTAGATGCTTTGCCAAGAACTTTCCAACATGGTCTGGCTGCTCATTGCAAGTGATACTTCTTTCTCACTGAACTGGGGAGTTTTGGGCACTACAAAGAGTGTGGTGCAGGAGAGTGAAGTGTGGAGTGCTTTGCCAGTGGGAAGATAGAGAAATCTTTATGAGGGAACAAATGGAGTCAGCTACCAAACAGCCTGAGCTTCTATGAATGTAGAAAATCCTTAGCTTCTGGAGCTTTGGTTTCTTGGAAGTGTTTTATTTTTCTTTTCAGATTTATTTATTTTTGCATATAGAACTGGGGTAAAGGCCTGAGGTGAGGGGGATGAGAGGATTCACCAGAGACAGAGTGGGGAGCAGAATAGGCAGATCTACTGAAATACACTGCTGAGGGGAGCAGCAAGGTCTGCTGTGCCATATGGGTCAGCTCCCTGGCCAGGGATCAAACTCCTGCTGAAAGAGGCTGGGAAGTGTTTTTTATGTGTGAGTTTATACCATTACCAAAGGAGCAAGTGCAATAAAAAGTCTTTAGAATGAATAAAATATTCTGATGTTTTATGATTACATAAGAGAAATACACATTTAAACATAAATTGTTTTGGAGTGGTGGATATAGCTGGATTTCAAATCAACCTAAAAATTGTTTCAAAATGGCCCTCCCTGGTGGCGCAGCGGGTTAAAGCACAGCATTGAGAATCTGAAGCCACTTCCGCATGAGTTCGATTCCCGCCTGCCGCCTGCCCCGGAGGAGACCACATGGCGAGCCAGACCTCTCCTGACCCGCCCGCTGCTTCCCTCAGCAGTGTACTTCGTAGATCTGCCTGTTCTGCTCCCCACTCTGTCTCTGGTGAAGCCTCTCGCCGCCCCTGAGCCTCTGGCCTGTACCCCAGTTCTGTATGAATAAATAAATAAATCTTTAAAAAAAAAAAAAAAATTACATAGCTTTTAAAAAAAAAAAAAAAATTGTTTCAAAATCTTAGTCATGTGCTTGCTCTGTAACCCAGAACTGGTTGTAAGAAATATCCGTGTCTTAGTTTCTTTCTCCTCAAAAGATGCTACCACCTCCCTCTTTTATGTAACTGGGCCTTCACAGTCAATGTAACATGGCGGTTAGAGTGCTGATGCAAGTCCAAGCTGGAGCTTTGCTACTTATTAGGCGTGTTTCTTAGGTAAACTCTAAGCCTCTTGCTTCTTTCCTTGTGAAATGGAACTAATAATGGGCCTTGCATCATACAACTATAATATAATACACACAGGATACCTTGCATGCTGTATTGCACACAGTGGAACTCCAAATTTATAACTCCCACTTTCCAACAGTTTTCAATTAAAGGGATGTTGGAATGGACAAATAAGCATTGAGAAAATCAAAGGGATAAAGAAACTGATGGATGCAAAAGCATTTATGTACAGTTCTTACTATCCAATTAACACAATAAGCAGTCAAGATTTACCTGATCAGCCACTCTATATACTTCTTCCTTTTGACTACAATCACAGGTGTAGGCATAAACTCTTGTGGCTCCAGCTTCCTGGACCATCTTGCATGTTTCCTCATTCCCTTCTTTGTTGATATCCCAGAGAACAACCACAGATCCTAGACTGGCAAATTTCAAGGCTAAGAGCCTTCCGAGTCCACTCCCACTGCCTGTTATAAGTACAATTTCTCCAGCAACGTTCTTATGGGGTTTTGGAATTAAAGCAAAAATAATTGATTCCAGAGTATAAAACACTACTTTTCCCAATATAACAAATACTTTCTTTGCTGATTTCATGTTGATGGCCATATTCTCTGACACCTGTAAAGAAAGATAGACTCATACAAAGATCCAGGTTTTTAAAAATTCTTTTTAAGTTTGATTTCTAGATGGAGCACATATTATATGAAGATAGTGAAAGAAATGATGTCTAGACATGGGAAAGAAACCATAGGGACTATATCTTGGCTAACTTTTATACAGAACAAAATTGACATGTATCTGCTAAGCCTGCTAAACACTGTACATGACTGAAATGTTCATTAGCTATAACTATAATGACACATAAACCATTCTCAAAGTGATGTCTATTATTTATCATATTTATCTTTTGATGATAATAATGCTGGTTTTATGTTGTAACTCTTGACCTTATTATCGTGTTTATGAAGCAACTGTTGGCTTTATCTTTTCATCCTCCTAGGTATGCGTTTTCTCATTTGCACTGTTGCTTTATAATTTTGCATCATTATTTAAAATATGAGGTTCAAGAGGAAATATAAAATTCTATTTGTATAATATATTTGAAGAGAAATAGGCATTCTAAACCTTTTTCAATGGGTGTGTTCTCAGGACCAGGTGGTCCTCCCCCAAGTTCTGAGACCCCTGTGCCATGTCACCAGACCAGGAATAGGACATCGATGAAATAGACCTGGAGATGGTTCAAGAAATGAAATAAAAATTATGTAATATGATTGATTACAACGATGACTTACAAAAAGTACTTTTATAAATGTCATCATGTCTCTGAGATGCATAGTACTACTCAAAAAGAAGCTGCCCAGTAGATTTGCTGAATAATCAAAGACCTCCCCTTTTGAAACTCATACAGGGCTCAGTGTTCACATCCTGTTGCCAGTCATTCACACTATAGTGAGAATGAGTTTATAAGCTTCTTTATTAATAGCTGCGGGGGCGGGGGAAGAAAGGTCTTATTGCTGTCAGAGTGAGAAGATGTTTAGCAAGGGCATACTCTGTAGGGCATGAGGGGCTTCCCTGAATAGAATACACAAATGAGTGACACAGATGAAGAAAGGAGATGGGAGGGAACATGATGTCGTGTCTTCAGGTACTCTGCAGTTTGGTTGAGGACAGACTAGTTACTATGAATGACTCTGGGTAGATTGATTCATCTATGGAAGACCTTGGCAATTTGTCAGAATCTTAGGTAACTGCGGCTAAAACTGGCTTCTTGGCTCATTCTAAAGATGATGATAAGAAAGCACGTGTATGGTTTATATAAGGACCCTGTGCTAGTAGAGGAAGGCCAGGCAAGTTCACTTATTTGTTTATTGAGTGGGTTTGTTGCTACTGGTGGTGAGGGCATAGGCATCCTCCCATGACCTCTGTATTAGTGAACTAAGGATGTAGTTAAAAAGACAGATATTAAATGAATAAATAGAATAAATTTCTATAGTATAAGTCATAGTATTACAAAGAAAAGTGCAGAATGTTAATGAGAGCCAGCAGGTGACCCGCTTTAGACTGGAGTGAAAGGAGGAAGCAACAGGAGAGCTTTGCTGGAAAAAATATAGAAGCAGGTATCCAAATGGTGAAGTGGTGGGGGGGTGGGCAGGAAAATGAGGCAGTAGCTTAAGAGCTTGAGGTCTGAGGTAGGCTTGACTTGTGTATCCAGGACTGTCTGGCGAAGAAGAATGCTGGTGGCAGTGAGCATTGGAGGGAGAAGTAGCATGGACATTTTATTTAAATAAAAAGTGTTTTCTGCTAAGTTCCACTAGCTTTAGATGAAATGTCCCTCAACTTTTCTGCTATATTTGTTAGGATTTATTTTCATAGAGCAGTTTTGACATAGATCTTTTTGATTGGCTTCCTTTAAACACAGTGAAACAGAATCATGGGTCATATACCTGCAAGGATGAGGGTTAGACTTCACATAGTAATGTGACATCTGGGTGCTCGCCAGGGCAGCAGCCGGGCACTACTGTGCTTTCCATGAGAAAATGCACACCAGATCATCTAAAATACTCCACTATATCAGTCTCTTCCAGAGGACACAGATTACTCTTTTCAGTGTCCTTCTAGACTATGCAACTGGTTAGAGATCTTACCACTGACCCACATGATCTGAAAGTCTTTAATACAGTGGACATAAACGTCAGAGCACCACTGTCTCAATGTAGGTTTGATGCAAAAACTAGAAGTTCATTTCCGTGGATGTGTACCAGGTTCTAAAGAGCTTGGCTTCCTGAGGGTTCTCTTATTTGGGACTTGTTGTTTGGGGAACTGCACTTGTAGTGAAATTTACAGATTAAAATTTGGATTGAAATTTTGGATCCCTCACAAATTTCTCTGCAGGCTTGGTAAAAATTGTTTCATCTCGTGTACTTCAATTCCCTACTCTAAGTGGGGAGATTCTAGGTAGCCATGGAAGTTAAATGAGTTAATATGGGTAAAGTATTAAGGTGAGATGTATGGTTCCTACTAGCCCATATGGAGCTTTTGAGCTAAGAGGGGTAGCGAGATAAGGACATCACTGCCCAGCACACAGCTCTCTCCAGGACACTGGGGGGTGTAGGTGGGGCCCAAAAGGAGCTGGACTGGATTTGTATTGCTAGGTTATACACCATCACCCTTTGCTCCTGGAAGCCTTGCTGGAAGAGTAGCAGGCACATAGCTACTGAATAATAAATATTCATTAGAGCTGTGATTGTTATTCCTGCTACTACATGAATTATTAGTCCTTGGTTATACCAATTAAAGATGTTTATATCATGGTAGGTAGACAGCTGACCTTTGAACAATATGAGCTTTAACTACTGGGGTCACTTACAGGAGGGTTTTTATTCAATATATGCAGTTGGCTTTCCATTTCCCCCATCTGTGGGTTTCAGAATTCAGGGCTTCAACCATCTATCTGGACTGGCTGAACATGTGAATATAGGAACCTCCAATTAAAAGGCACTTGAACATGCTCAGAGTTTGGTTTGGGAGGAGGAGGTGGACCTAAACCATTTCCCTGTGGATAACAAAGAGATGCATACTTCAGACTTGATGAGTCAAAAATTACATGCAGTTTTCCCACTGAGCTGGAGCTGTAGTGTGTGGGATAATCCCAGGTTGTTCAAAGGTCAACTGTACTTACAAAGACAGGTAAGTATCAGCTTTCTTTTTATTGAAAGGCTCTTTCTTAGGAAATTACAACACATATTAAATTTAATCAGTCTAAAGACTTCTCGGTGATGTCTTCACCCCATAGTCACTTAGTCCAAAAGCTACCCTATCTCTATGCAGGGTAAATAGGTGGTGTCTGCTTCCCTGTCAGGGCACAGCAGCAAGGTTCCCCCACCAACCCCTAAGGGAACAAAAAAGGGATGGGGTGAACTGGGAAGGGGTGGGAGGTCCTGGAGACATAGGCACACTGAGCAGCAGAGAGCAGGACGCCTGGGCAGAATGGGCCAAAGAACTGTCTATCTGCAAGACATCCTGCCTTCTGCTCTAGCATGGAGTGGGGGCCAGCATCTCAGCCCTTCTGGTAGGGGTTTGGAGGCCCCTTGGGAGGACTGGGGCCAGAAACCTGTAACTTTATGCTCAGTAAAGGTGCTGAGCTTGTTTGGGCTCATCAGCACAAGCTCCCTCCCTGCTTCCATCCAGTGTCCATGCCTGTGGGCAGACTGGCTTTGGCCACACTGGTCCTTATAGTTGGTGGCTCACTACAGGATAGGAGCCTTGGAGCCGGCCAGCACCCCTTCCTGTCTGAGTTCTGCCCATCCCCAGATCCCAACAACTCACCCAGCGATAGGCTGCCCTTGCTGCTTGCAGAGAAGCCACTCTCCTTCACCACAGGCACCAGGTAACTGGCATGCAGCTCCTCAGGTTTCAAGGGTGTATTCTGGAGTCCGCCCAAAACCAAGACCAAAGGCTGATTGGCAGTGCTAATGGCAGGGGTGGGGCCCTTGTTGGCTGACACAAAACTTGAACTTCCATGCAGATTTTTTTTTTTTTCTCAGGTGGCCATATTTGAAAGCCTGGTAAGGAAGACTGGGCATTCCTGAGCAGGGATTAGAAGCCAAATAATCACCCAGGAAACTTTAAAAATTCCAGTACTGACACAGATTATTGCAATAGAATCAAGAGCCAAGAAATAAACCCACACCTATATGGGTAAGTTAATCTATTACAAAGTAGTTGAAATCATGCAGTGGGATAAGGACAGCCTCTGCAATTAATGGTGAGGGGAAAACTCAACAGTTGCAAGTAAACAAATCAAATGAGACAAGGTTCTCATGCCACGACCTGGAGTCAACTCAAAGTGGGTAAAATACATGGATATAAGATGTGGGACCATAAAATACATGGGGGAAATAAAAAAAACATAGGCAATACATATCATGACATAAGTGATGCTTTAGGGGTTTGTCACCAATAACAAGGGAAACAAAAGAGAATATACACCTGGGCTCTTCCAAACAAAAAAGCTTTTAGACGGGCAAAGAAATCATAATTAAAAGAAAAATACACCCTACCGAATGGGAGAAAATATTTGCACACAATATATCTGACAAGGGACTGTTATAAAATATATAGAAAGGACTCATAAAACTATGAAAACAAAACAAATAATCCAATGGGGAAAAAATAAAAGACAGAAGAACTAAAACACCCCTCTCCAAAGAAGCCATACAAACAAGCACATGAAACAATGCTCACCATCATTTATCATCAGGGAAATGCATCAAGACCATAATTAGACACCATCAAATACCTGTGAGAATGGCTGGATTGAAAAGACCAGAAACAATAAGTGCTGGTGAAGATGTGGAGAAAAGGGAAGCTGGTGGGAATGCGGGCTGTTCCAGCCTTTGTGTGGAGGTATCTCAAAACATTAAACATTAATCATTCAACCTCATAGATCGACTCCTAGACACTTATCCAAAAATTTCAAAAATACTAGCTTGAAAGGAAATTGCACTCCCACTATTTACTATAGTAAATAAATTAAATTACAGAAATAAGTGGCCCAAAACAGATGAGTGGATCAAGAAGATGTGGTGTATATACACGATGGAATACTACTC